ACGAAGTCCGACATTTCATATATCCATAAAATAAAGCATTCATAAACATAATCATCTCATATCAGAACATACATAATGGCATACTCCATAGAACATAACATATGTCGTCCAACGACTAGAGTAACCGGTCCCGGACACCGATTAAACACATACGGAGATCTCGTAAACTGGTCCACTTAGGACTATCTATGGATGCCATACTAGATTCACAAACTGGACATTCGTTCACAGAAAGCATTTATCATTTCAAAACCATAGCATAACGTAGCACTTTTAAACATAGATCATACTAACATATCTTTACAGAAATGTTACTCACAGTGGGTTTCCAAAACCGATTGCACGGTCTTCGCCTCCTGACCTGCAATTAACAACATTATAACACATTTCTTCAATACACATTATCATTAAATCACTTAATTCATGCCATACTATTCTTCCCTTATTACGTTTCATGTTCATGAGGTGCCAAATGATGCCAATAACATGATAAAATCAAGTAATTCATGCCATATACGAACTGAATACAACCTTCAAAATTTTCCTGAAAACAAGTCCCCCGCTCGAGCGCCACTTTGTCCGCTCGAGCGGACTGCACAATTTTCCAAAACTGCTGGGAGGCCGATTTTCACGTTCGAGCGGGAATACCTCCGCTCGAGCGGACTGCGCGAAAATCTGAAATTCTGGACTCTTCTCAAGCTTCATTCTCCTCTTTACAAAATCACTTTCCACATTTATGAAATCCAAGACCCAAAACACTTAAAACCCAACTTGAATTACACATTATAGCTTCTAAACAAACCCAAATGCATCATATACAAGATCAAACCATGAATTGAGGTGAAGAATCATAACTATTCATGTAAAAGCTTTATTTCTTCATATCCATGGAGGTTCTTCCTCAAGAATGCCAAATATAAACATAAATCATCTATTCATGCCATACAGGCTCAAATTAAACATATTTCTCCTTTCAATCCTCTTATTTAACACGAGATCATTGATGATTCAACCTTATTTCAAGAAGTTAGAGAGGAAATTCTTACCTTAAGCACTTAATTGGAGAAGTTGTAGCTTGATTCCCCTTGTTTCCCCTTCTTCCCCTTTCTCACGAATTCTCCTCTCTCTCTCTTTCTAGATTTTTCTTTTCTTCTTTTTGAGTCAAAGAGTCAACATCCTTATCTATGTATAGATATATCACACAAAAACTAGAATTGTGCCATAATCTTGAGCCAAACATGACTTAGCGATTCAGACGAAATTCAGTCCTCAATTTATTTTCCCAAATGATTCTAATAATTCCCGGTATCTCATAGACGCCCTCAATTTTGTTTTCTGAACCCATTACGGTCATCAATTTCAGTCCCAAAGTTCTCATCTCAACAGATATTCTTCTAATTCAAACAGATATTCTTCAATTAATTCGCATAAACACATAATTAATTACTGATAAATATGACACATGTTTTGGGGTCATTACACTTTCTAATTACATGAAGTGGACACTCCCTCTTTTGTGAAATCTCTCTCTCCTTTGTCTCTTTCTCTTCCCAAGAAACCCTCCAGTAGACCTGTCGATCTCCCTCCCCAAGAAATCGCTCTCCACCTTCCATATTCCCCTCTAATTTTTTTTCTCTCTCTACTCTATCTCTCCCCTCCAAAGAAAACCCCATCTCCTTAAATATTACAGCCTAAAAAAGAAACCCTTCTCACCTTAACAAAGGTGGCAACACTGGCTCTAATCAACGGAACGTAAATGGAATCGGTGGTAGTGGCATTAAAAGATGGTATCTCTTCATCTGTCACTCTTTGTTTCTACAAATCAGTATGCTTGTTTCAACCTATCTGTTCAAATCTCCTATGTCTCTTCCACTCCATTGATACACGTTTGAACACAAGAATATGGATAGTTGTTAGTACATTGAATTGTGTATATGGTACCTACTGAACCGACCGTGAAGCCAAGTGATTTATTTAAGTCGATTTCATATAGCATTTGGGCTGGCAACAGTTTTCCATTTTCTCAAACTGATACATTTGGTTCAGTGGTGGTTTAACGGTAGACTTGATCAAATCTAACCCGTGAACACCAATGTAATCTGGCTTCAATTTACACCAACTCAAATATTGACTTTGTACCGTCTTGACAACTTAACTATTTTAGTAATTTTTTTAACTTTTTTATGGGATGAAAAAAATTCATTGATGTATATGATGTAATATTTTGACTTTTTAAGGAATTATTTGGGATGATCTAAATAAATGCACTTTTTGACTTTTTATGAAATATGGGTTAACTATGGGTTTGGTTTGAAGTGATATGATAGAGATGTTATGTGACTTAAATAAGATGATATGACTTAAATAGGTTAATAACTTTTTGACTTTTTAACTTTTTTAGGTTATGACAAATAAGGCCTATTTTTTTTTTTTTTAAATCTATTTTAGCCAAAAAATTGGTTGCCAATAGGGCCTTTGTATATAGGAGAAATTACCGGTAAATCCCAAATTATGAAATGATGATCTATTTAGTCCTGTGTTTTTTCTTATGAAACATTTGGTCCTATTTAATTAGTAATGAATTCTTTGATTTGGCATGGGCGGAGTGTACACATTTACCCTTACTATGATTTTGGTAGATTCTTTTTTACTCATTTGTATGTAATAGCTAAAAGGATAATGTTTTACATTTCTATTTTTGTGTGTTCGATTTTTGTAAAGTTGAAGGGGCTAAATAAGAAATGGGTCGGACCCAAGCCTTGGGCCGGTCCAATTCCCTAAGCCCAAATCCAAATGGGTCAGATAAGCATGTGGGCAGCCCAACTAAGCCCAACTTCATTACTAACAGTCCACCCAAGTCCTCAAGCACTTTTCTTATGAAACATTTGGTCCTATTTAATTAGTAATGAATACTCCCTCTGTCCCAAAATAATGGTCCTTTTTGGGGAATCTAACTTTTTTTGGTAGTACAATTATTGCATTTGAAAAAAATTGATTTTCCAAAATTATCCTTTTGATAGTACATTTTTGAGAATATCAATGTCATAATTGTACTTTTTATATTGTTTATTACTTTAAAAGAATGGCAAAATAGGAAATTTATATTATTTTTGTACTTGATTTTTGAAGAGGGACTAATATTTTGGGACAATGAAAAATGGAATAAGGGACTAATATTTTGGGACGGAGGGAGTATTTTTCTTTGATTTGGCATGGGCGGAGTGTACACATTTACCCTTACTATGATTTTGGTAGATTCTTTTTTACTCATTTGTATGTAATAGCTAAAAGGATAATGTTTTACATTTCTATTTTTGTGTGTTCGATTTTTGTAAAGTTGAAGGGGCTAAATAAGAAATGGGTCGGACCCAAGCCTTGGGCCGGTCCAATTCCATAAGCCCAAATCCAAATGGGTCAGATAAGCATGTGGGCAGCCCAACTAAGCCCAACTTCATTACTAACAGTCCACCCAAGTCCTCAAGCACTTGAGCCCAACTCGCAGTAGAAAGGCTAGTCCAGCTGTAATACTAGGCTAGGGCCGACCTGCAGGACTCATTCTATGGGCCGAGCTAATAGAAGAACCCATCATCAGAACCAAAGTGGGCTGAGTCCATACACAAATATTTGAATGGGCCAGCCCATCCCAACAGTAGCCTCGCAAAGGGCTGAGCCGAGACACAACAGTGTCGAGCTGAGGGAACCTCTCAAAGAAACGTGGAAGCTATGAGTATATGCATATGCAAGTTGCCACCTCAACTGGTCCCCTACACCTAGAATCACGGAAACAGTTGAACCAGAGGAACGTGGTTTGTTATCAGCATGACTACAATGAGTATATGCAACCCTTGGCAACTACTAGATGGTTCCCCACCATGGGCAATGCTAAAAGGAAACTTGGCAGCACCAGAGCTCCATAAAACCATCTTGGGAAGCAAGCAAAGAGTTCTATATAAATTACACTAACTTCACATTGAAGCTAACTGATCTAAGCTGAACCCCACTTATTAAAAACTGAACTCTCTACACTTAGAGGGTACTGCACTTCTTCTACGATTCTGATTCCTACATCGGAGGGGTTATCCGGCCAACCCCAGCCGGGCAGCTCTTACGGTTCTTCTTGCTGCAAGGACCTCATTCCTTGGATAGTCCAACGGAGTGCGAAGCTCCGATCCACTTTGATCTAGTGCGGTATCCGGTACGCACAATTGGTGCGGTGAGCGTGGACACTTTGTCTCTGAACTCTACACTCAGTTCCGGCGATGGGGATTGAGGACATCCCATCTTTGACACATACTCCATAGACGAAGAAGACAAAGGACAAAGGTTTGGCACTCCCAACAATCTTAGAAGAACAAACTGGAAACAATAATCAGACCCCCGAATCCGTTGAGCATCGATTGCCCTTCGCTGGAGGTTCTTCTCATCACTTTCTTCTAGAAAGGGATTACAGAGATCGAATCATAGACTCCATGGGGATAGAGATACAGGAACTGAAAGCGCAACTCAAAAGGGTACTAGATGACCCGACGGAAAAGAAGACTAAAGCAGAGCCCTCTCGCCTACGACAGAGAAGCTCATCCAAAGAACCACCAGTGAAAAAGCTCTCCAGAAATCAGTCTTGGCAGCAAAGCCAACCAATCCCAGTACAAAGTGAGGCGGCGAGTAGCCACACCCGTGGGTCACGCCGGAGAAGGGCTAAGAGGCAGAAGACGGTCAGCCAATAGATTGAATACCCTCCTTAAGACCTTCGTACTTGGCTAATTGGCAACAAGTAGAATGAGCAACGTCGGGATCATCTAGACCGTACCATCCACCAGAGAGAGCACCGAGCGCTGGATAGGCTTGTTTCCTCCCCATTCTGCCTGGAAATTGTGGCCATGAAACCTCCCAAGAAATTCACCCCGCCAAAGTTCACGTCGTACGATGGGAAGTCAAATCCATTGCCGCATATCAGCCATTATAGACAGATAATGTCCCTATAAAGCCGAGATGAAGCACTGATGTACAAAGTCTTCCCGTCCAGCTTGGGAGAATCCGGACTTCGATGGTTTGATCGACTCCCCGCTGGATCAATTTTTGACTGGAAGCAGCTCTCCGAAGCGTTCTTAACTAGGTTTATCTCCAACACTAAGATCCTGAAAGAGCCTGATACACTGTTCAGCCTCCGAAAGGAGCAGGAAGAAACGCTGCACAGTTATGCAAAGAGGTGTTGGGAAGAGTACAATGACCTGGAGGAAAACGTTTGCAGTGAGCAGATGACTGTCATGTCTTTCAAACATGATATGCTCCCAGAAAGTAAGTTGAGACAGTCACTTACCAAGCGTCCGGCCATAGCGCTGAAAGATTTGCGTGTCAGGATTAAGCAGTACGCTCGCCTCGAAGATGACCAGATCCCTATCGAGGTAGCATCAGCAGAACAAATAACTCGGCACAAGAAGAGAACGGACCGAGGGGAACACCGGGGGCTCACGGTGAATGAGGTGGATAAGTCCAAATCTCACGAAGCAGTCATAACGGTATTCAAAGAACCAATCTATCGTATCTTGGAAAAGATTAAGAGAGAACCCTTCTTTGTTTGGCCGCTGAAGATGATAGAAGATTCGGCTCGGCGTAATTAGAAGCTCAGATGCACCTATCACCAAGACAGGGGGTATGTGACTCAGAATTGTAGAGCACTGAAGCAACACTTGGAAGACCTAGTAGCAGCTGGACACTTCTGGGATTACATTAATCAGAATAAAGCAGTGACCGAGCCGGGGAACCCACCACCAGAATCGAACATTGAGCACCCACCTCGGTTGATAATGAATGTGATCCATGGAACAGCAACCCAATAACATGAAGAGGCACTAAAAGAAGAGATTGCTAAGGCTGTGCAAATTTAGCAGGTCATGTCAGTGGAGCCCACATCAAAAAAGGTACGCACGGTACACAAATCCCCTTTGTGCATTGTTTCGTTTACTAGAAATGATTTAGAAGGCATACAACACCCACATACTGATGCACTTATTATAACTGTGGGAATTGGGAAATGGTTTGACGTAAACGAGTCCTAGTAGATCAAGGCAGTGCAGCAGACATATTGTATTATGACTTGTTCAGAAAGCTCAGTCTCTCTGAGCAGCACCTCATCCCAACGGCATCTCCATTAGTCGGCTTCAATTCACAGCCAGAATGGCCACTTGGCAGAATAGTGTTGCCAGTCGTGGCAGGAGCGAAGACCTTCTAGATAGAGTTTTTAGTTATTAATACACCTTCCCTTTACAACGCCAAACTTGACCGTCCATGGATTCACCAAATGGAGGCGGTCCCTTCAACCTACCACCAGCTCATCCATTTCCCAATGGAACACAGAGTAGAGCAGATCTGAAGGGATCAAGTTGCGTCCAAACATTGCTTCATGGCGGCATTGAAGGCTAAACAGCTTTACAACCAGGTACAGATAGTGGAAGTGGTCAAGCAGCCAGTCTTGGAAGATATAGGGGGAGCCCCAGAGGAAAAGATGGTAGAGGATTTGGAGAAAGTCCTGGTAAAGGAGGATGATCTAGAAAAGTACTTCATTATCGGTACCTCGCTAGGCGCTAATGAGAAACTTCAGTTGCTGGAACTGTTGAGGGAAAATATAGAGGTATTCGCACGGTCAGCATATGATACCCCAGGGTTGAACCCAGAATTTGCTTGCCACAAACTCAACATCAACCCTTCCGCTCGGCCTGTCGTGCAGAAAAATTGAAGATCCTCAGTTGAGCACACTGAAGCAGTAATTGCCGAAGTCGAAAAACTCTTAGCATCGGGAGCGATCAGAGAAGTTCAGTACCCACAATGGCTGTCCAACACAGTTGTAGTAAAAAAGAAGAACGAAAAATGGAGAGTCTGCGTTGACTTCACCTGTTTAAACAGAGCTTATCCCAAGGACAGTTTCCCTCTACCTCACATCGATCAACTGGTAGACTCTACAGCACGGCATGAATGCATGAGCTTTCTGGACGCTTATAGCAGTTATCACCAGATACCACTGTTCAGTCCATATCAAGAGAAGACAACATTTATCACTCAAAGGGGCACTTATTGCTACAAAGTAATGTCGTTCGACCTCAAGAACGTCGGAGCAACCTACTAGCGAATGATAACTCGAATGTTAAAGGACCAACTCGAAAAGACTATGGAAGCTTATATAGATGATATGGTAGTAAAAAGAAAGCACGCTACAAACCACCTTGCAGACTTAAGAGAGGTCTTTGGTATCCTGAAAAACCATCAGCTTCCCCTTAATGCCTCGAAATGCGCTTTCGGGGTAGGAACAGGGAAGTTCTTGGGGTACGTGGTCACTCACAGAGGAATCAAGGCAAATCCAGATCAAATCAAAGCAATACAAGAGCTTCAAGTACCAACAAAGGCTAAAGGGCTACAAAAGCTGGCCGGAATGGCAGCTGCCCTGAATCGGTTCATTAGCAAGTCTTCAGATCGGATAAAGCCTTTCTTCTAGCTATTGAGAAAAAAGACAGCGTTTGAATGGAGTCATGAGTGTACCGAAGCATTGCAAAGTCTCAAAAGATACCTCAGTACACCACCTCTTCTGTCCACTCCAGAACCAAGAGAGGAGCTGTACTTATATCTAGCAGTCTCAGATCCCGCTGTAAGTGCAGTATTGATTTGAGAAGGTAACAAGGAACAGAGGCCAGTATACTATGTTAGCAAGACTCTACTAGATTCCGAGACACAGTATCTACCTTTGGAAAAGTTAGTTACGCATTGCTTATCGCCTCAAGAAAGTTGCAACATTATTTCCAGGGGCATACCATCAATGTCCTCACTAAATTCCCTCTCAGATCTGTATTCAGCCAAGCTGATTTCTCTGGCCGAACGGCGAAATGGGCAGTAGAACTTGGTGAGTTTGACATTCGGTATCAACCCAGGACAGCAATCAAGGCCTAGGTCTTGGCAGATTTCGTCGCAGAATTCGCTTCCATCCGGAGTACTGAGCATGGGAATCCCAGTCTGGCACAGGCGCCACGCACCACCGAACAGGGAAAACAATGCCCTTCGGAAGCATGAAAACTTTTTATTGGAAACATCTAGCAGCTCTGTGTCGACGGATCATCCAATAGTCGAGGCACGGGAGCAGGGGTAGTACTTATGTCACCAGAGGGATTTATTTAGGAACAGGCACTTAGGCTCGGCTGGAAGGTTTCTAATAATGAGGCAGAATACAAAGCACTGTTGGTTGGCTTACACAGTGCCGAACACTTCAGCGCAGAACAGCTTCTTGTTTTCAGCGATTCCTAATTGGCAGTAAACCAGCTTTCCGGGGTCTGTGAAGCATAAGACGAAAGAATGGCTATGTACGCAGGTAAGGCCAAGGATCTACTCAAAAAAATTTGATCCATACGAGTGGAATGAATCAGTCTGGACAAAAACAGCCATGCTGATGCTTTGGCCTGCCTCGGTTCATCAGTAGATACCAGAGACGCTAGAAAAGTTTGGGTTGAGTTCGTGCCAGAACCAAGCATTGCATCTCCAATCCTCTGCAGCAACTTAGAGCCAAGCTCGATGGATTTGATACTTACTTTTCTAAAATCTGGCACTCTCCCCGAACATAAAAAGGAAGCCAAAAAAATCCGACGTAGGTCAGCTCGCTTTTGGGTCTCACCATCTGCGAAGCTATACAGAAGCTTGTGTGCACCCACATCTGGTAAAAAATGTTCTCTACGAAATTCACGATGGGATTTGTGGATGCCACGTTGGTGGAAGGTCACTGGCGCACCGAGCCCTCACTCATGGGTACTGGTGGCCACAGATGCAACAAAATGCACATCTGTATGTTCAAAAGTGCGATAAATGTCAAAGGTTTGCTCCACTAATTCATCAGCCAGCCAAAACTCTCACTCCACTGACCAGCCCACGGCCCTTTGCCCAATGGGGCCTGGAAATTGTCGGACCGTTGCCACGAGGCACTGGGAACAGGCGATTCTTCATTGCTGCAACCGACTATTTCACTAAGTGGGTTGAATTCGAAGCGCTGGCAAGTATCAAAGGAGCGAACATAAAGAGGTTTGTCATGAAGAACGTTGTGGTGCATTTCGGCATCCCGCGGGTACTGATTGCGGATAATGGAACGTAGTTTGATGGAAAGATCTTCAGAAAATTTTGTGCCGACCTCAGAATCGAGTATCGGAACTCTTCTCCAGGGTACCCATAAAGTAATGGGCAGGTAGAAGCATCAAATAAAACCAGCATCAACGGAGTAAAGAAACGGCTTGAACATGCAAAAGGAAAAAAGGTTGAAGAGTTACCCCACGTGCTATGGGCGTACCAAACCATAGCACGACGCGCTCAACGGGGGAAATACCTTACTCCCTAACTTTTGGAATAGAGGCCATCATCCCACTTGAAGTAGGTCTCCCAACCCTTTGGTCTGAATTGTTTGAAAGCACCAGTAATAAAGAAGCTATTGCACAAGTACTGGATATTGCAGAAGGCCGAAAAGAAGCCGCACTGATCAGACTTGTAGCATATCAGCAGTAACTCATCAAAAGTTTCAACCAAAAAGTTATCTCAAGGAAATTCACACCTGGAGAACTGGTTTTGAGGAAAGTTATGGATCACAAAATGGTGTCTTGCGAAGGAAAACTTAGGCCTAACTGGAAAGGTCTGTACAAAGTCACAGTTGTTGCTGGAAATGGAGCTTACTACCTAGAGGATCTTAGAGGTAAAGCCATACCTCAGCCCTGAAATGTAGCAAATCTAAAGAAATACTATCAATAGAATTAAACCCAAACTTCTCTATCAGGATGTAAAGGCATTTATCTTTTGACCAATGCAAATGTCTCCCCACTTCTCTCAAATTCATCAAATTTTTGTAATTAGCTTTGATGTTTATCAAACGAAATTAGCTTTGGTGCTTACCAAACGGAATTAGCTTTGCTGCTTACCAAATAGAATTAGCTTTGATGTTTATCAAACGGAATTAGCTTCGATGTTTATCAAACGGAATTAGCTTTGGTGCTTACCAAACGGAATTAGCTTTGATGTGTATCAAACGAACTCAGCTTTGGTCTTAACCCGAACAGACTAAGTTTCAAAATGACTGAACGGAATTAAATTGTAGTTAGCACTGAAACATGCCAAGTGGAATTGCTTGGTGGAAATATGTTTGGCAACTAAATTGGACTTTAGCCAAGTGGAATTGCTTAGTGGAAACCACACTAACATATCTTAAGTAAACATCTCTGAGTCTACAGAATATCTTAAGTATTATCACATCGACACTTCAGTATTGCCGCGTACAAACAGAGTTGGAGCAGACTTGGCTAAACTCTACCAGGGGCAAACTTCCAACACTAGTCTTACTCAACTCTAGGTGGGGCCAAATAATTGTTTTCATTTCAAACAAACCTGGACCTGAGTAAGACACCCCTTTATACCTTTATCCCATTCAAATGCCCTTATGCTATCAAAGTTGCAATAGGCTTAAGCAGCTCAGCCTAAAGAACACAATCTTCACTACTGATCTTACTTAGCTCCAGGTGGGGGCAAACAATTGTTTTTCAGAACCAACTTGGACCTAAGTAAGATCCTCTTCTTTTCATTACAAAACCAGGCACAGCTATGCAACATA